TAGTGAGACACAGAGAGTCGAGGAAAAAGTAAGTAGAGAGAGAGAGAGAGAGAGAGAGAGAGAGAGAGAGAGAGAGAGAGAGAGAATAGTTTGAAGTGTATAGACTTAAATGTCAGATGGATGATTTTGTCATCTTCGGCAAATCACATAACCTCTCTGAGGTCTTAAAAAAATTGAGAGGACTGGTGACCTAATACATGTAAAGTGCCTGGCACACCAGCAGTGTTTAGTTAATGTTGACTTTCTATACTGTGGAGGCAAGAGCAGGTTTCAGCCTAGGCTAATGTCTCCTGCTGTCCCTTTAGAGCCAACCCTTCTCGGGAGAGAGAACAACTTCCTGCACTTAAAAATCAAGTTCAAGGACTGGAATGATTGGTAGAGTGCTTGACCGGTATGCATGAGGGTTCAATCCCCAGGTCCACAAAAATACAAACAAATAACTTCAGTCCAAAGTCACAATTCAAAGCCACGGGACATTTGCTGTGCTTGTAACTGTGCCTGGGCCTGAGACAGATCTAAAACCTACATTCCTAGCCAGGATGATGGTGCATGCCTATAATCCAAGTGCTCTGAAGGCAGAGGCAAGAGAATCCTCACAAGTTCAAGGCAGCCTGGTTTCTATAGTGAGTTCCAGACCAGCCAGGGCTATGTATTGGGATCTGTCTCAAAACAAGACATCAAACTGCATTCTTTCTGCAGTGGAGCAAAATACTGTGTTCTTTTCTTCTAGATAAACTATTCAAAAGAGCATTTCTCATTTCTGAAACTCCTTGGATCTTTGGAACTGTGAGGAGGGAATATGCTTGTTTAGAGAAACTGAAGAACTGCCCTTTGAGCTTCCAGATCCCACCCTCACAGCCTTGCCCCTACCTGTCACAGTGCTCCCGCAACTGCTCCCAGATCAGCAGAACCAGCTCTGTCTTCATCTGCTGCAAGTAGGGCCCCACAGAGCCCGATGTGTCCAGCAAGACACACACTTTGCTCTCCAAGATGGTGCCAAACAGCCGGCGGCTTCCTGCTCCGAGATGGGTGTCAGAGGCAGGAAGAGGGTGAGAGGCTGGTTTCTCTCACTGCATCTACCAAATGCAAAGTCTTACAACACCTTCCTCCACCCTGATAAGTGGTCATAGATCCTTCACTGGGAGATGGCCCTGGGGTGGTTTTGGAGGGACCAGCTGTCCAAGGGTAGAAGCAGCCAGTTATATGCTGTTTGGGTGGTCACCATTTCAGCCCTGGCTTTGCCTGTGTGATTACAGGTGGTTATAATGTTCTAGGGCTTCAGATTCCACATCCTTAAAATTATGCAATTGGATTAAAGGGGGTCACAGTATGATTTGTGATGGGAAAGATGTTTAGAGAGCACATAGTCAGTCAACAGACCAGAGAAGTTAACTGAGCATCTACTATGTGTCCTGCACTGTGCAAAGCATGATGGTAGATAAGAGGGTTGGGTACCTCATGGAGCTTATGGTCAGCCAAGGAAGACAGATGTTAAATAATTATAAATCTATGATCCAGTGGATGGTCACATACGCATGTGTATGTGGGCAACACTAGTTGGACTCAGTATATTACTAAAACAGCAAGAAAAGAAATTGGGAGGGGGATTTGTTGAGGACGGTTCCAGGAGAGTTGGAAGGGGAGGGGAAGGTGGAGGGTGAATGTGGTCAAAATACATTGCAAACATGAAATTCTTAAAGAATAAAGTTATTATAAAATTTGAAAAATAATTGTGACTCTACCGAGGGAGCATGGCAGAGTCACGTATTATAAGGGCAGGTGATGGGGAGAATTGAAATTAGATGGATGTAGGTGTGGAACAGTAGAGCTAAGGAAGAACAGAATTAGGTGGTGCACCCAGCTTCCTGGAACTGATCTTTGGGTGGGGCTGTGGAGACTGCCAGGAGAGAGCAGTCCTTGAAAGGCTCTGAGAAGAGAGATGAACAGGGCATGCTGCAGGGCAGAGAGAAAGTCAAGGTGAGGAGCGAAGCAAGGTTGGATGGAGATACCCACAGGAGACGGGTGAGGCATGACAGAAGTTATTCAAGGACTGAGGATTCAGCGCTTGGTGACTTGTCCATACCCCACAGCTTGGCCTGGGTTCTGTCCCAGTACTTTAATCCACACTTTACTCAGGCATCCTCTGACTTCGGTCCTTCTGATTGTACAAGGCTACACAGAAATGACACCAGAGAAGCCCAGCATGCACATGATGTGACCAGAGTTATGAGCACTGGGGTTCACTGGGATTCACTGGGACAGCAGAGAAAACTGACAAGCGACTGCAATATCAACCAGCCATTCTCCAGGAAAAGGTGGATCCTTAGCAAGTCACAGGGAGAATAAGAGAAAAGCCAGCAAGACGCTTGCATGATGCTCCGTGAGGACATCTGGCTTGTCAGCCAGCTCTCCGGGGACCTCAACCACAGCGGCATGCTTACCCCTTTTGGTGGGACCACAGTTCAAGTCACCAAGCACTGCCCATTTTCACTTCTTGACTCTCACTCTGCCCACTTCATCCCCCCACTTTACCACTCCTTGATCAGTTCTGTTCATATCCCACCTGGGTTATGTAGGACTAAGTCCCCCTCATTCTATTCCATCCCCCAAGAGTTTGTCTTCTACAAAGCAATGAATGGGATTATTGCAAATGCTGATTGATCATTTTTTGCTTCTCTGATGATTGATGGCTTCCCTTTGCTCTTAATAGTCTGTGCCCTGGCTGTAACTTTGTCTCACCTGCACCTCACTTACCACAGTGACCCCTTCTTTTCCATCAGCCCTCCTCTGGAACATAAGCATGGGTCCCCTTTGTCTGCCCTATCCATTCTCCTCTTCTGGAGAAAACTTAATGTCTGCCCCTCCCATTTCCACCTCTACTCAAGGGGCCCAATTAACACAGCAGTCATCCCTCCGTCATAAGCCCTATCTGCTGCCATCCTAAGAGCCATGGTCAGAACTGGAGGTCCTCAGCCACATGCAGGAAGGCAAAGAGTGCAGGCATCCTTGCAGGTGACCTGGACAGGCACAAGCTCCCTCTGGCTCCTGTCCCACACTCCTGCCGTCTAGCATCTTGCCTGACTTCTGAACCCAGAGCTCATGTCTTATAGGAGGACCCTCTTGTATTAACCCCCTAGTCTGAGAGTTCTTGAGGATCTGGCCTTGAAGGACTGACCCTGGGTCTCTAGGATTGACCTTCCACTTCCTCTCAGGCCTCTCCACCTTCCAGGCTTCAGTCAGGCTCACCAGACAACAGCCACTGCAGCCTCTGCACATAGCACCTCATCACCCTCTCCATGCACGTGATATACGACTCCATCTCCCACAGTGTCCACTGGATGTGTCTCATCACTCCCTAGGGAGACGAGGGAAGGCAAATACTCCCATCAGCTGTGTCTTAATAGTCGCAGCACCCCTAAGGTAGTTTATACCATGGTATTCCACAATTCCCAAGACAGTTTATTTATTTATTTATTTTTATTTATTTATTTAGACAGAGTCTCCTTGTAGCTGGTCTAGAACTCGCTAAGTAGACTAGGTTGGCTTCCATCTTACAGAGATCTACCTGCCTCTGCCTTCCAAATGCTGGGATTAAAGGCATATGCCACTATACCTAGCTCAAGATTTTTTTAAAAAAAATTATTACTTTTATTTTACATGTATGAGTGTATCGCCTGCATGTGTGTAAGTGCATCCATGTCGTGCAATGTCCAGGAGGTCAGAAGAGGGCATTGGATCCCCTGGAACTAGAGTTACAGATGGCTATTAGTCACTATGTGGGTGCTGAGAATCAAATTCGGGTCCTCTGCAAGAATAGCCAGTGTTCTTAACCGCTGAGCCATCTCTCCAGCCCCAAATTAGAAAATTCTTAATGGAGGGGTGGAAGGTCTGTAAATTTCAAACTGAAAGATGACCTCTGATGGAGAGGGGTCAGCATGCTAAAATGACTCTAAGTTCTTTTAGTGGGTAATTTTTGTTTTTTTGTGACTATTTTTAGTTTCCTCTGATGTTGATAAAGTGGTATCAAAGGGCAAGGAGAGAAAGAATCCAATTTTCATTTCGTACTGAATTCACTTGTCGCAGCATCAGACCAATGAGAATACCTCAAAAGGAGAGAATGGAGAAAGGTGCCTGTTCCCTCCTGCCAGCCAAGCAGAGCCACAGCCAGCATTAGGCACCCAGTGCTTTTGGGTGGGTACCTCAGTCACTGCCAGTGTGCTCCGCACTTGCTTCTGCTTCTCACTCCATGCATCCCATCCTCCCTGGAGTGTGATCTCAGGCCCTGGAGGTTTGACATTTCCTTTCTAAAGGGATTCTACATCTTCCATCAGCTTGGGGCAATCCTATTTTAGGGAGGGGGTTGTAGAAGCAGGAATAGAAGCTGGCATGCCTTGATCTGCTCTGTGCCACTTAGAGCTGACAAAAGGTAAGGAGATGGGGATTAAAAGAATGACACTGTGACTTACGTTGATCTCTATACTGGGAAAGATCGTGCAGTGTTTGGCTGATGCTGATCCCCGTGCTGACTTTTGATGTCTACATTTGGGACCCAGGCAGCTGGAGAGACCCATCTTCAGTTTTTTCAGCCCATAATTTGTTATCCACTTTGGAATAAAAGAAAGAATTTTTATGTAAGTAACTCAGTCTCAACTGAGTAACTGACTCAAGTGTTACAAGTTCTTGTTTGAAGTGTGGCACTCCTGGCCCTTTGTGAACATCCATCACTTGTAGATTCTTTCCCCATGTCTGGGAGGAATGCACAAGAAATGGCCAACAGGGAACCAAATGAATTGAGCATCTTCTTGGCCTTATCTAGTGGATATTACTGCTTCTCCAATGTCCATCACAACCTCCCACTATAATGGCTTGGTTTGATTGGTCTAAAATTCAAACTAAACCAGTTAAGATAATCTCAGGCTCCTTACCAAACTGAGAAATGACAGAATGGGCAAGCTCAAACCAATCAGAGAATGGCATTCAGGATTAGCCCAATCAGAATCAAGTCCAGACTTTCACTGAGTGGTTGTGGGAAGAAAGATATGAACCAGAAGGGGGGATTTCTGTTGCTTACATTCAAAAGAATCTGACATCTATAAGTATTTTACACAAAATATTCTCTCATTATGCCTCACATCAGTCTTACTAGATAGGTGGAAATGTGTTCATTTTACAAATGTAGAGATTGAGGCTAGGTGTAGCTATGTGAATTTCCCAAGTTCACCCAGCTAGGATGTAGCAGATCCAGCTTCTGAACTGAAGTCTACTTAGCCATTATTCTACCTGCCACAGTAAGCAATCATTTTTAACATGTTTGCCCTCTTTCCCTGGTATGTCTACCCTCCTGAAAGACATGGTTGGTGGAAGGAATTATTCATCTAGGGACATGTGCTGGTTTGGACAACTTAATACATTTTTTGTGGTCTTTTTGAGACAGGGTCTCCTTGTAGCCCCAGTTGGCCTAGAACTGGCTATGGAGACCAGGCTGACCCCAATCTCACAGAGATCTACTGGCCTCTGCCTTTCAAGTGCTGGGATTAAAGGTGTGTGCCACCATGCCTGGCTAACTTAATACCTCTTGACTTGAGCACACAGTATCCTTCTTGGGCAGCTCAATAGAGCAGTTGATCCTTCTCACAGTCCTTCCTTGAGGGTACTTCTTGTACACAGCACCTAGGAGAAACAGAGTGAAGTCCCACGGATGTTCTTCTTCCTTCTTCTTCCCCATCACTTCTCTTTTAGCCATGTCAATTTCTCTGCCAGTCAAGTCAGTCACAAAATTTGCTACAGATGTAGAAAGGGAGCGTATTAGGTGGGTGGAGGAGGACTTCTCAAGACTCCTCCATTTAGGAGGATCTGTGATGGTGAATCATTGTCAAATTGACTAGATTTAGAACCACCTAGAAGACACACCTCTAGATATATTTTTGAGTGTGTGTGTGTTTTTGAAACAGTCTCCTTGTAGTCCCAGTTGGCCTGGAACTCACTATGTAGACCAGGATGACCTCCATCACACAGTGATCTGCCTATCTCTGCCTCCCAAGTGCTGGGACTAAAGGCCTGTGCCACCACGCCCAGCATGGATGTATCATTGAGGGAGCTTCCAGAGAGGTTTAACTGAGGAAGGAGGACCTTCTATGAATGTGGCATGTGTTGAAGTCCTGAACAGAATAAAAGGGGGGAAAAGAGAAACATCAGCATTCCCGTTTCTGTTTCCTGACTGTGAACACAATGTGACCAGCAGCCTCCTGTTCCTGCTGCCACAGCTGCGAGCTGGTCCCTCCACATTGACTTCCCCACCCTCATCAAACTGAGAGCCCAAATAAACCCTTCCTTGAGTTGCTTTTGTTGGGGATTTTGTCACAGAAGGAAGAAAATAACTAATACAGGTACCATTTCACAGTGATCTATCAGGCTGGCCTAGGGGAATCTTTACTCCTCTTGTAATTGGCCTCAGGACTCAGAAAACCGCTTTTCCCAGATGCCACCAGTATGCCCAAGGACCTTGGAAAACTGAGTTTTCTCATTCTCTGCCAGTGTCAATGCATGCTCATTTCTCTGGCTGGGGTACTGACTTGTTTAAGGATGGGTCTATCCAGAGGCAAATCGTGGGGTAGCTGGAGGGGTCTCCTCATGGGGGGCGCTGTTCTAACAGGGTCCCCAGCACCGGGAGCTGTTCAGATACAATTTGGCTTTAGCTTACCCACGTTATTCCCTGACTCTGTGTAGAAAAGAGATAGAGCTGTATCTGTCGTCCTGGGCTTGGCCTTCTTCCTCTGTTCCACCATTCCTTCTTTCTCAGGTTGGGCAGCCGCTGGAAGACATTTAGCTTGTTGGGCGGGCTACTTTGTGGGGCCTATTGATAAAGTTGTGTAGCCTGGCTTCCAGCTGTCTCAATTTCAGTCATCATCTATTCTAGACATGGAGTTCTGGGGGCACTGTTTGTTCCCAGCCAGGGCTCTGGCCTTTGCCTGGACCAGTAGCAGTGGAAGCTACCATTACCAAGTCCTGATGTTTCTGGGATGTAGTGTTAAGTGCACCTTGTTCCATTTCATTCTCATCGTCCTCCAAGTTCCAGATGAACTAGTAAGGTGCAGAATGAAGACCCCATCTAGTCTTGCTGCCCTAAACCATGTTGCTATAAATCTTTGTCTTGAAAATGAAGACACATCGTCTTGAATTTATGAACTGAATACTTTCATAAAAGTAGTGATGTCTTTTCTTGATGAACCATTTTGAACCTAAACTCTGTCATTAAAATGACCACATGGGAGTACGTGTTCCTGGATTGGACTCTTATATTAACCTCACCCACCCATGGCTTAGGGACAATTTCAGAAGGGGGTCAGAAAGATTGTAAGAGCCAGGGTTGGTGTATGGACTTACGGAAAGAGAGGCTTTCAGGCCTCTGAGAACTTGCTCATATGAACTTGCAACAATGGTGACAGCATGCACAAGACCCATGCTGACTCAATCAGATAAAAGCCCAGCACAGAATGAAGGAAAAGGGCAGCAGGTGCCAACCTTAGCCTAGGAACTATTGGCAATTGATTATTGCTGAGTAAGGAAGAGTAGATCTTCTTTGAGGGAGACTCTCTAGATAGACTGACTAGACTCCAGAGGATGAATTTGTACTGATGGACATCTGGGTACAAGTGCTTGACTGGAGAGGGCTTAACATATATGACAGAATGCATGAAGTGAGGGAGCTATGGGGGTGAGGATGGGGGGGTTCTAAATTTGATTAAAATCTATTATGTGAAATGCACGAAACTCAATAAAATATTTAAGAAGTAAATAAAATGGTTCCATAGGACTAATTGCTACAGGTTTTATGGTGACCACTTTGGCTGATGGACTGCCACATGGTTAAGAGTTACCATTATTTAGTCTCTCACACTGTTTTTTAAAAATATTTTATTTACTATTTTATTTTTATTTTATGTGTATGTGTGTATTGCCTGCATGTAGGTAAGTGCACCCGTGTCATGCACTGTTGGAGGAGGACAGAAGAGGCTAATAGATCCCTTGGAACTGGAGTTAAGGACAGTTGTTAGCTGCCATGTGGGTGCTGAGATTCGAAGCCAGGTCTTCTGCAAGAACAGCCAATGTTCTTAACCACTGAGCCATCTCTCCAGCCCATCTCTCACACTGTTAATCCATGCCCTGGTGCCTGAGCTGTCCGTCTACCCACATGAGTCCGCGGCTATGCCTTACCTGAAGAGATGCCTGCTTTACCACTGAGGGGATGCCATTTCAGAGGTTTCAGTTGTGGGCTCTTTTCTCCATCTTTGCCATCTTTAATGTTCTAGAAAACAGGCCATCCTTCTCATCAGAGGCCTGTTCCCCATGGAAAGCAGTTCCCAGTTACCCTGACCTTAATCTGCCAATCAAGAATGTTTGTAGGGTAGGGCTTAAGGAAGTTAGCTCCTGAAACATGTTTGGCCCCCCTTCTGCAGCAGGTTTCAGAGGGGACTCTGGGTTTGGTAGTGAAAAAGTATATGAATGTGTGGATTCATGCATGTGGCATGAGGGAACATCGGATGGGGGCTTGCCAGAATTTTCTTCACTAGTTACCTGTCCTTCTTCATACTAGTCTGGCATTTCTGGTCGCCCAGCACCTCAAACAATCATTTGGGTAACTTCTGTGCCCTCGTGGGCATCTCAGCTTTAGGGGAGTTCTTTCCTCACTGGGCACGGCTAGAACGTGGTAATCATATAACAAAGTCACCTGGGGCCTTGGGTCAGCAAAGGGGGCCCTTCCATGAGTTGTTGTGAAAAGGGCCCAGATGCCACCACTTTAGGGAGTACTCATTAGGGTCATGCTGCAGGAACCATTGAAGGTCCGAGAGGAAGGACCTGAGATTCTGGGGGTTCCTCCAGAACTTGAGACGTTAAGATGGTGGGAGATGGGTATGAGTTCTTTGGGTGAGGCCCTGGAATGCCCTGGAAATGCAGCCCCTGACTAGGAATAAGCTATGCACCTCCTGGGATAGACTTCATTCTGAAATGTGTTTAATAGTGCTCAGTCAGCGAGCTGCTAAACAGTCCCCAGGTTTCACTGATGCTTCTGTTCACAGCACTGACCTGTGGGGGTCTTCTACAAGTCTCCCTAACTACTGAGGTGAGGGGTGGGTATTTTATGCAAGGCACATTTGACAGGCTATGAATGAAGATAAGCTCCCAGCAGGCTTAGGTTGAACCTTCAGTTCCTATCACACCCCTGCTGAGCTTGGGCAGCAGCAGCAAGAGCCCATTAGTAAGCCCACTCTTTCCTCCTAGAGACCCTCCAAGTTAAACTCCTATATACAGTGGTGGGCATCAGTTCTGTGGAGATCTTGGAGCTAGAAAAGGGAACAAAGCTGAGCTAGTCAGGCAGAGCTAAAAGTAGGGTAATGAGCAGGCCCTCTCCCTGGAGGCCCCCATGACACATACATCCCCCAAACCTGTCCCTGTCAGTGCTGGCCTGAGGCCTGTGGACCAGTCCGTTTAAGATCTAGGAAAGATAAGGAGACAAACTGGAAACAATTTCTCTATGTGTTATTGGGGAAGGGAGTCAAACCATTCTGGTCACCGAGGGGGCTGTGGCCTTGGGAGGACAGAATTTCTTGGGTTGACTTTGCTTGAGCATCTTTGACTTGTCTCCCCCTTCAGCCATACTTTCCAGTTCTTTTCTCGACTGGTTCTTCAAGGAGGCCACAAGGAAGGCACACTGCAACAGGGATTAGGCAGTTATCAGCACACTGGTCACTGTGGGCCTACAGATATGCACATAGCAGGACAGAATCCTTTTGAATCCTCTTTCTGTTCCTAGGATGTATCCTGGGGCTGAGAGTGCTGTGGCCCAATCTTATGAAGAACAGGTATCCCCAGGATGCACTAGGAACTGGGTTAGTTAATGCCTGCTGTGTGTGTGTGTGTGTGTGTGTGTGTGTGTGTGTAACCCTCGGGCAAACAAGATATACCAACCACCCCAATTTATATACATTTGTAATGGTTTGAATATGAAATGTCCCCCCATAGGCTCATGTGTTGGTTCTAGAAACTTTAGGAGGAGGGGCCTAGGTCAAAGAAAGTCATTGGGGACATGTCCTTGGGATCTGTATCTTGTCCTGGACCACCTTCTTTCCTTCATGTCTGCCATGAAGTAAGCTACTTTACTTCCACATGCTTTACTAACCACATGCTACCCACCATGGCATTCAACCTCACCTCAGACTGAGGGCAAAGGAACCAGCCAACTGTGGATTGAAATTTCTGAAACCATGAGCTAAAATAATCCTCCCTTAGCTTGATTTTTCTCAAATGTCTATCACAGTGATAAAAACTAAGACACCGTTGTACAGATGAGGAAACCAAAGCTCTGTGAGCTTAAGAGTTTTGTCCAGGGCCACACTACTCACAAATTGAGGAGCTTCAATCCAAGTCCAGATGGACTTAGGTAAGCCAGTATTCTTTTCTATTATAAAACCCTTCAGCAGCAACAGCTGCTGGTCAGCTCAGCCTATGACCAGGACCAACTGCAGACACTGGCAGAACTGAGGTGTAATGTTTATTCTTTTTTTCCTGAAAGTTCCTCAACTCCCCAAAAGCTTTTCTGGTAATTACTCACACTCAGAGAACTAGAGGACACTATTCAAACATAAGCAAGCATCTTAAAGAAAGTGAGATTAAGCCATTAATGTCCATTAATACCTTGTATGTGAGTTTTTTAGGGGCAAAAATGGCACAGCTTGCACTTAATTAAGGACTAGAGATTTACAGATCCCCAGCGGGGTCTTTTAAGGAAGGAGCCTAAGGCAGGTTTGGAGAGCCACTGACCTACTGATCCAGTGGCCGTGGAGGAAAACAGTATGGGACATGGCTCTGCCCTCCCGGTGGTCCCAATCTGGTGTAGAGATGAATCATTCTACAAGTAATGGGCATAACTAACATTTGGGTCAGGGTGTGACCTTCACAATTTCTTTCCTTTGCTTGAACATGTCTCCCCACGAACTCCTTGTCTATACCCAAGGCTTGACCTGCTCCAGATTTCTATCTCTAGGCCCTATCTTTTTCCATCTGCCTGTCGGATATCCTTGCTTGTTTACCTCATGGGCTCTGCCGGCTCACCTTCCTCCAAGTCCCACCTTCTCTGCACCCACCTTAGTCTCTTCCTATTTTCTCTCTCAGTTGGTCAATGGCACTATTGTCTGCCAGGTGCCCCGGAGAGGAACTTGGGGAGTTACTTTGGATTTCTTCTTGTCTCTCACCCTGTATTTTACATTAATTGTAAATTTGGTTAATTTTCCCTTAAATATTCTGCTGTCTGTTGCCCGATTCCCATACGAAGTGCTTCCGGTTTCTCACCACCTCTCTAATTTCCCCTCATGCTACTCAAATCTCCTCTGAGGAAGTAATTTTTTAAAGGAGCCTTGAATAACAAGGAACAAGCCATAGATGATCTAAGAAGGAAGATCAGGCAGAGAATGAGCAGGCACAAAGCCTCCAAGCTTACGGTGGGACTGGATGTGTTAGAGAAATTCAAAGGAGGCCAGAATCTATAGCCTATCGGTCAAAATCCAATAACCTACAAAAACCCCTCATGTTCCACCTGAAGCCTTGGGTGCCAGTGGACATGAAGCGGGAATCTGGTGTGTCCCTCAGAAGATATGTTGAAATGTGACTCCCTGTGGATGTGACTTTACTTAGAAATAAGGTCTTTGCAGGTGAAATTAGAATGTAAGTCAAAATGAGGTCATATTGGAATAGGGTGGGCATTCAATCTAATATGACTAGTGCTTTTAGGAGAGAGGAAAGACAGACACACAGTAGAAAACAGCCATATGCAGATGGAGGCAGAGATTGGAGTTAAGCTTACACAGTCAAGGAATACCCAAGGATGGGCACAGCCTTTAGAGGTTAGTCTCTTCTTGACTACATCTCCACTGTGACCATCTCACCCAATTTTACCAAAGAATGTTGCTAAATCAGTTCAGTGAAGGCCACCCTACATTTGATTTCCATTCGGGTTCTTCATCGCCCCCTCTTTGATCTCTAAGTCCCTGGCCTGTCGTTAGCAAGAGCCTCGGCACCCTTGATACCTAATCAACTTCCTCTCAGCAATTTTCCACCCCTGACTTCTCCTTGGTATAAGTCCCCAGCTATTTCTTCTGTGTTTGGAGTTAAGCTTAAACTCTCTTCTTTATGCAACAGTCTAGTCTTCTATGCCAAGCAATATGCTTTTGGTACACTTTTGCTTATTAACCAAAACTAGAAGGATACAATAATGAAGGGCTCTACCCGGAGCCTACAGAGGGACTGTGGCCCCATTGACACCTTAATTTCAGGTTTCTAGTCTCTGGAAGCATGAGAGTGTAAATGTCTTTTGTTTCAAACTACCCAGTTTATAGCATTTTGTTAAGGCAGCTCCAGGATTTACACACATGTCAATGCATATGCATGCATTGAGCTCAAGGCCAAGGCATACCTTCTGGGAGTAGTTGAGGGCCCTTTCCATCTCTGATACGATAGCATTAATGTCATCACTCTCATAAATACCTGGAAAGAAAACACATCTTCAATGTTGGGGGAGGGATGTGGATTCTGGCAAGTGTCTACATCTGCATGCGTGAAGGTGATCTGGGGGTGACACAACTCCAAGGGGGAAGATGGGACCACCATGGACTGAGCTGACCAGCTCCAACCCCACATCATCCAGTGGTGTGTTGTCACCACCAGTGTGGCTGGCCTTAGGGCTGAACGTCCTGGCATTCACTCACAGGAAGGGCAGGTTAGCAGCAAAGGTTCTGCTACCCCATGGAACAGAAAGACCTACCTGGGGATTATTTATAGTGGCTAATGTCTGCAGTGAACATCGATGTCTCACTTGAGGGGATTCGAGTATAATGGCTAAAACACTGGACATTAATGCTGGCCTGCCTGGGTTTAGCTTCTGGCCTTTGGACTGTGTTAGCTCCCTGTCTGCTATATGAGGCAGAAAGTCACCTACACCACAGGATGTAGAGTACTTAGAGATGTGTGTGGCACCTCATAGTTCTGTGTTTGCTCTTATTACTGATAATCGCTGGTAACTTCAATGAACACATCCAACAATTTCATAGAAAGAAAGAACTGGAAAATGGCCCCCGAGTTCCCATCCCTGTGAAGCTACCATCATGCATATCATGCCTCTGGAGGTTGCCTCATCTGTGAGTCAGAGAGGTTGGAAGGCATTAGTGTCCTAGGCTCAGTCACTCCCATGTCAATGTAATGGATTTTGTGTCTGTATACCACCTAAGTCATTATTTTTTTCATAATAGTTTTACTTTTTTTTTTTTTTTTTTTTTTTTTTTTTTTAGACAGGGTCTCCCTGTAGCCCCAGCTGGGCTGGAACTCACTATATAGACCAGGCTGTTCTTCAACTTGCTTTGCTTTTTGAGGGCTGGAACCTAGGGCCTATGCATGCTAAGTGTGCACTTGACCACTGAGCTATATCCCTAGCCCCTACTTTTAATTTACATTTATTTATTTTATGCGTGTGTGTGTATACATGCACCTGTGTGCATTCCACAACATAGGTGTGGCAGTCAGAGGACAGTTTGTAGGAGGAACTGGTTCTTGAATTCTAGCATGTGGGTTCGAATTCAGGTAGTCAAGCTTGGCAACAAGTGCCTTTACCTCATAAGCCATCTTGCCAGTCACCTAATTTTAATAAATATGATTTTCACATGCTACTTTTCTGCAATATTTGAATGATGCCAGTGTTGAGACACTGTCTGGTAAGAAAGAGGTAAGAAAATATGCACCTGCTTCTCCAAACCAGTGAAAGCGGCCCCTGGCAGCTCGGGTGACCTCTTTGTAGGCAGTGGCTGTGTCAGTGCGGCTGGCATAGCAGGCGGGGGGCGTGGTGTTCATCTGTGGCTCACCCACATAGAAGAGACACACGTGCAGCTGGAGAGCGCAGCCCCCACAGGCTTCGGCCACGTAGGCGCTGAGTGTGGGCTGTGGGGAAGAGAAGGCAGGAGGCTCACAGCTGATCTCCCTACACTTCAGCTGAGCATCTTTCTTTTTAAATTTTTATTTTAAATTATGTGCATGCATGTGTGTCTATGTGACAACATGTGCACATGGGTGCAGGTGCCCATGGAGGCTAGAGGGGTGGGATCCCCTGGAGCCAGAGTTATGGGTGGTTGTGAGCAGACTGATGATGTGGGTGCTGGGAATTGAACCTGGGTCCTCTGCAAGAGTAGTACAACGCTCTTAACTGCTGAGCCATCTCTCCAGCCCCCTGATCATCTTTCTTGATGGCTTACTGAGTGTCTGGTCCAGAGGACAGAAACACATGAGCCCGAGGCACAATTTGTTCCCGTGTCTTAATAGGGTGTGGCAGGGAGCCGAGCCTGAGAACCTGGTCATGCCAGGTGAGCAGCGGTATATACATCGTGGGGGGCTTTTCAGTATCAAAGACTCGCTGTCAAGCCAGAAGCTGTGTTTTGACAACATTCCCAGGCAAGCGTTAAGATGGGGTACTTTAGAAAATCACTCTGGGACTGGGGTTGTGGCTCAGTGCTTGCTTGGAATGAGCAAGGCCCTGAAGTCCATACCCAGCACTACAGAAAAGAAGAAAGGTAACAGATATCCAGGATGGAGGCTACCCACCACATCCTGGTCAGGAACACCCCCTGTGAAGAGGTAGATGCCCTGAGACTCGTGTTTGTCCTTGTCCTTGAAGTCCACTTCCATGGCCTTCCGCAGAGCGCTGAGGACATTTCTGCTGCCTTCACATCGCAGGCTCAGGGCCCACCTGGAGAGGCAGGACATGAGGCTGAGGGAGCCCATCCACGAGGCTCTGATGCCCCAACGACAGAGAGAAGAAGGTTGTTTTTGAAGTCTGCCCATGGCTGTGGGAGGACAGGGCTGCAGGGGGTTACTTCTGGGTGGAGAGGAAGATGGAGAAGACAGTACCAGAGGCAGCTCTAAGGCATGGCAGCAGGTAAGGTGCTCAACACCTACCGCCAGGCACTTTGTAAGTTGGTGTGATTCACAGGAACCATCTCAGGCCTCCAGCTTTCAATTGTGCTTCCAAACCTGTGGAGAAGGCAGAGAAGTCTTGTTCCCAGGCAGAATGAACGTCCATTCTGTGACTCAGTTCTTCGGGTTCTACTGGCTTTTAAAGCAACAAAATTCTAGCCAGATGTGGTGGTGCATGCCTTTAGTCCCAGCGCTCAGGAGGCAGAGGCAGGCAGATCTCTGAGTTCAAGGCCAGCCAGCCTACTTAGTGACTTCCAGACCAGCTGGGGCTACAGGGAGGCCCTGCCTCAAAAAGACCCCCCCCAAAAAAGGGAGCAAAATTCTGATGATACTCTCCCACATGTGGGAACATAACTATCCTGGGCTAGTTACCTGATTTTCTTACTCACTGTGACATGTTGCAGCATAGAGAATATGGGTCAGAACCAGGGTTCTCAGCAGTGAGTGAGGGCCAAGCCTCTGTGGCTTTACCCCTGAAGCACTGACATGTTGCCTCCCTTCCTGTGTTTTCTCTCAGTCTCTCATGGTTCCTTTAATTGCCCAGGCATGGGTTTCCCTCACAGTACAATTTCCCTCTCAGTGTGAACAATAGTTCTTTCTATAAATATGCATGATCTCGTTTTCCTATAAGACAGAATTTAAGATCTTCAAGAAGAGAATTTATCCTTCTCTGGAGGACAAAGTAACCCTTCTCTGAGTCTAGGTCAATTCCTCCAGCCAAACCCAGGCCTCACCGGTGCCATGTGTGGAGGTCACAGGACAAACTGCAGGAGTTGGTTCTTGCTGTCTACTATGTGGGTTCTGGGGATCAAGTTCAGGTTGTCAGGCTTAATGGCAACATCCCTTGCTTGCTGAGCTCACAGAATCTGGAGCTCGGCAACTGGCTCTTAGATTGTTTGGCCAGCAAGTCCCAGGGATTCTCTTGTCTCTGTCTCCCCAGTACAGGGATTACAGGCACATGCTTTTTCTGTGTGGGTGCTAGGGATCCAAGCTCAGGTCCTCATGCTTGTACAGCAGGCACTGAGGATCTGTTTCTTTGCAGCAGTGCCTTCTGCCCTTTGTGTTCCCACACCAGTCTGCCTGCGCCCCCTTGTACTGCTCTGGCTTTCCTCTCCTGTCTTCTTTTAGTCACTCTCTTCCTCTGTCCACCTGCCAAATTCTGGTTCTGTCTCAGTACTTTCCAGTTCCAGGGAATCAAATGCTTTCTTTTGCCCTCTGTGGGCACTGTATACACATATGCAGGAAAAGCACTCAAGACACATAAAATACAAAATAAATTAAAAATTTTAAAAATCTATAACTCTCTCTCTTTCTCCCCAGGTTCTATTCTAATTTTTAATTTTTTAAAATTAAAATTAAAGGCCAGGTGTGGTGGCACATGCCTTTAATCACAGCACTCGGAAGGCAAGGGTAAGTGGATCTCTGGGAGTTCAAGGCTAGCCTGGTCTATATAGTGAGTTCCAGGCTAGCTGGGGCTACAGGGAAACCCTGTCTCAAAAAGACCAAAATAATAATAACAGTAATAAATTAAATTTAAATTAAAAAAAATTTGAGACAGGGTCTTTTGTAATCTAGCTTGCCCTTGAATTTGCTGTGTAGCCGACACTGGCCTTGAACTTCTGATCCTCCTGCCTTCACCTCCGAGTACTGGGATGACAGGTGTGTGCCACTGTGCCTGGCTAAAACCATCTCCTTTAAAGATATCTATCAGGGCCATCATCTCTTTACCCTTCCCTCATCCCCTGACAGCCAAACAGCCACTCTTTTCTACAACTTGCCCAGCATTCTCTCATGCATCCCTCTCTTCCATTCTCTTTCCAGGGCTTGAGTGCCCTCAACATGAGGGAGCTACTGCCAAGTCCACTGTCTTCCTTCCCTCCATCTCATCCTTTACATTGCTGCTATGACATTCGAAGATGAAAATCTGATTGTATTATTACCTTGCCTAAAACTCCTACTCGTGGCCTACATGAATCCTCCATCATCTGGTGTTCTGGTCAGGCCAAACCTCTTGCCAAGATATCACATGGAGCTGCTTGCTAGTCCCCCACAATTCCATTGTACCTCATACCTTTGTGCCCCTGCTCATGCTGTTCCCTCTACCTAGGGTGTCCCTTCTCCCTTCTGCACATCATACTCATGATCTGGGCAAACCTTACTCATCTGTCAAGACATAGCTAATGAGGTATATCCTCCGTGAAGATTTCCTGACCTTACTGAGCTCAGGCAGAATGGCCTGAGTCTGCCTTTTGTCTTCATGGCCTATGGTACCTATGTCGTCTACCTAAGTCTTCAGGAAACACTCAACAGCACTTGTTTCTTAACATGCGTGTCTGCTCTAGTAGGCGGTAAGTTCCTCTAGGACACCACTGTATACATTTACTGCTGGGCCCCAGGGTCAGTACTCTGCCTTTTACACAGTAGTTCTTGATAAAACTTCATTGAATGAATGTTTCTCTAAGGAAGGGGACAATTTAGAGAGGAATGGAGAATAAGAGGACAACAGGTATGATCAAAATACATTAGACATACATGATAGTGTCATAACAAAACCCATTATTTTTGCACAATTAATATGAAAAGTGAAAATGTCTCCCTAAACATTTTCTGTAGAATATATTTAAAAATATTAGCCTGTTAGCACAGAATAATATTTAGAATTAACTGCTTTCTTAGTAGCCTGAGAACACACCCCATGGGCTTCTTTTCTGTTTTCTCTTATTAGTTAAAATGATGTGTAATTAAAAATACATTTTTTAAAGACAAAGTCTTGCTATGTATCTATGGCTGGACTGGTACTTACTATGTAGCCCAGGTTGTTTTTGCTTCTGTTTTTGTTTTATTTTTTGAGACAGGGTCTCCTTGTAGCCCCAGGTGGCCTGGAACTTACTATACAGACCAGATCTGCCTGCCTCTGCCTCCTATGCACCACCATACCCAGGTCTCCCCAGGCTGATTTTGAAATTGTCGTTCTCAAGTGCTGGGGTTATAGGCATGAGCCACCAGTCTCCTGATGGCTACAGGTTTGTGCCATCACACCAGGCATATCGTTTTGCTTTGTTTCTTTTTTGTTTTTTGAGATAGCATCTTACTAAGTAGTTCTAACTGTCCTTGAACTCACAGAGGTCTACCTGCCTCTCCTTCCCAAGTGCTAGAACTAAAGGTGTGTGCCACCGTGCCCAACTTAGCATATAGTCTTAAATTTAATAACCTATATAAGTGATATATGATTATGTACATGATATACACAATTTAGAACTATATATAATTTTAAAATGTTAAAGTTACTTACATAACATGAAAAATATGTATATAATTTTAAAATGAATATATAACTGATATATTTTAAAA